ATCGGCTTGGTCGGCTTTTTGATTCCACACTTGGATATCCTGGTGAAGGGCCGAAGTGGACTATTGTGTCAGCAAATGTTGACTCGTTCTCTACCAATGCGAGCTGTCTACAATGGGAAGCTGGTGCATTCTTTTTGCAGGAAGCTCGAGTCTCTGATTCAAACATGGTTGATGCTCAGCGCAAGGCGGCGCTCCTTTGCAGCGCCTCCGAGCAAGCAATGGGACCTTTAGAACTCCCTCAGGTGGCACTGCCACGTGTAGCCACCGTGAGGTGACTCAGCTGTTTGAGGACAAGTCTGACCTCTCTGGTTGTTGGGCCACTCTCCGTAGCTCTGCGAGAGTTACAGCCACGTGGCATCAGGTCTCCTCAAGCGTAAAGCTGCTTGCCTTTAACTTCTATGCCATTGCGAATGCTGCATCGGAAAGGGCGAAGCTTGAGCGGAACAATGAGCTGATTAACCAGATCTTCACCATTGCGGCCCAGTTCGGAGATATTCCCATCCTCATTGCAGGGGACTTCCAGATGGAACCTGGGATGTACCCCTCCGTCCTATTGGGGATGGTCTGACCCTCTACTCCAAACTGACCAGCTCGGTGAGGCCTTTCGGCCATGTACGTTCTACCAGCATGCTGCAAGTGATGAAGGTGAGGGCCAGTCGTCCATTGATGGCATCCTACTCAACCGAACTGCCTTGACTGCACTCCTCAAGATGGAAGTCCTTGACCATACTGGCAGACAACACCGACCTGTCCAAGCTACCTTCCTGTGGGAGAGGGTAGAACAAGTTGGCACTGTTCTACAGAAACCTGCTCAGCTTGATCTTCAGAAAGTTCAGATTGCGGATGTCAATGACCCTGCATGTCCCATCAATGACCTTGGTCAGCAGCTATGGCAAAGTATTGCAACTGAGTTTGAGCATGCAGACGATGCCAATGACAAATGGCGGCTCTTTAATGATTTTGCAATTCGCCTATTGCTTCTGAATGGTGCTTCATGGGGTAAAGGGCCACAGGCACGTGGACAGCCACCGTCCTTCCACAAAGTTCGTCGTTGTGTTCTTCAGGAAGAAGCAGGGAACCCAGCATCGGCAAGGCTCCTGCTCCTGCAAGCCTGTTCAGGTTCAAGCGTGCCATCACCGGGCCTGGTGACGCCAGGACCTTTCGCAATACACAGTACAAGCTCTTACGGCGGATGAAAGCTGCCAAGTTGATTCCTTTCTCAGTTCGGCAGATTTTTGTGCATGACCTGGAGCATCTCACGGGGCTGACGCTCAATGCCATTGCTGGTAGGTTAAGAACATCAAGTTTGCTGCAATTCAAAAATGGCGTGGTGCAATGAAGCAGGCCACTACCTCCCTGGCTGTTGGGAAAATTGTCTACCAGTACCTCAAGCGGAAGGGTCGGGTCATTGCTCCTAACCTGGTTGAGGATGAGGTTGGCAATATTGTCTATGACCCCCAAGCTGCCATGGATCTTATTGCCTCAAAATGGGACACTGTTTATGCTGTCAACACGACCCACGAGCATGAAATGGATATTCTACGGCAGATTTGGCCTTACATGCGCAACAGCGGCTTGAGATCCAGCTTCCACCCATCACGGCGCATCAGCTATGGGAACAAGCTGCAAAGAGGCGGCCTGACGCCGCTGCAGGCCTTGATGGCTGGCGCACAAGGGAAGTACAAGCCCTACCACCAAGCGCTTTTCAGCCAGTTGCTGCACTTTTCAATGATATTGAAGCTGGGCGGACTGAGTTTCCTGACATCCTCACCCAGGTCAGAATGGTCATCCACAATAAGGATGGGAGTGATGCGCCCCTCTCCAAGCGCCTCATCTCACTTCAATCTATTTTTACTCTCCTGTACACTGGATTGCGCTTTGGGCAGCTCCAGCAGTGGCAGCAGGACATCATGCCGTGTCAGTTGAAAGGTGGCATTAAAGGTAGACAGATGTCCGAGGTGCACATGACCATCCAGTTAGAGATCGATCATGCTCATAGCTTTGATGGGTCTTTCGCTGCTGTGAAGCTTGACAAGTCTAAGTGCTTCGACCGGCTCATGCCAAAGCTGTGCGCGGCCCTTATGTTGGCACTGGGACTTCCATCCGGGTTGGTCCGTGGGTTCCTTGCACTCTACACGCGCATGACGCGCTACCTCTCATTTAAACAGTGGACCCGTGAGAAGGCCATCTCCACGCCTAATGGTGTTGTTCAGGGCTGTTCACTGAGTCTGCTATGTATCAACCTTCATATGGCCATCTGGATCTGGATTGTGGAAAATATTCCAGGGATTGACTTCAGGGCGTTCATAGATGACACATATCTTTGGTCGAGGCTTCCCACCATTGATGCCCTTGTTGCTGCTGTCAAAGCCACCGAGCTGTGGGATTCCCTTTGTGGCCAGTTTCTGAACTCTAGCAAGTGCGAGATGTTTGCAACTACTGGGCCCTTGCGGCGTGCTTTGAAACATGCATTTCCGCAGATGCGGCTGGTTGAGGTGGTCAACATCTTGGGAGCCCATGTGCAGTCAACGAAGAAGAATGCTGGTTTTTTTCCATTGGGGAAACTTCAGTCTGCCCTTCGTGACTGTGAGGCGATTCGGTCCTTGCCTTGTGATAGCACATCTCGTGCTCAAATTTTGACCACCAAAGTGCTACCGCAGATCGCATTTGCGCCGCAGCTGAACTTGCTACCCAAACGGCAGCTGGCCCGTTTGCAGAGTGCAATTGCAGATGCTCTCTGGCAAAACCGGCCGAAATGGCGGTCGAAACATTTGCTACTATGCATTATCCACAAGGCTCATAAGCTTGATCCTTTCTTGTTCAGGGCAGTTGCAACCATTGTGGAGTCCGTACGCCACTTACAAAGCTCTGCCTCTGCCCGCAGATATTGGCAAGATATTTATGATCAAGATCAGCTCACAGCGCAATCTTGGATGACCCAATTTGGTCAAGCCTGTCAGATTCTTGATATAGTTTGGAGTGGGGCTTTCTGCTTTACCCTCATGGATGCACCGGCGGTGAACTTCCTGGACTTCTCAGTGACTGATCTCAAGTGCATTCTGAAGAGCCTGGCCGCCAACCGGTGCTACAATACAGCGTGCCTGATGCCGCGGAAGGACATTCAGAAAGCCATTGGGTTCTTGGACCTGTCCCTCACCCTTTCTGCAAAGAAGAGGCTTGCCAAAATCCCCAATGACGGGTTTTCCTTCCTTTGTTACTGGGAGAGTGCACTAACAGGTTGCGACTGCCAGTGCAAAATGCCGGTTCTGTGGCTATTAGAAGGAGGATATTAGGCACCTTGTGGAGAATTGTCCTGCGTTGCCCGCGGAGCTTGCACAGCCATCTGCTTCGCCCTATTTTGGGCCCAATTTCTCGACCCTAGGGGTCGTTGAGATGTCGATCGACTCCATCCGGGACCGACTTCAAGTCTCTGCTACAACTGAGCTACGTGTCAGCTCTTGGGAACTGCCTCTTCGGCCTCTCCAACATGTGTGGACAGACGGCTCCGTGCAGCTCTCGCACTACCCCTGGCTTACTGTGGCTTCCTTCGCTGTGGTTGGTCAAGACGGGAGTTTGCTTGATACTGGAAGAGTGAGGCACTGGCGCCTTTCCAGCTACAGTGCTGAGCTTTGGGCTGTGCTTGCTGCTTTTGCCATGGCCAACAGTCCGATGGTGATTCATTCCGACTCACTTACCATTGTGAATCAGTTCAATGAACTACTGCGTACAGACCAAGTTCAGCTTGAATGGACTCATACAAATTGGTGGGGTTTTCTTCACCTTCTGCTTCATCAGAGGAAAGCTTTTTTGAGCCGCCGCTGCAAGTGATTTGGTGCCCTGCTCATTTACTGGAGAATGTTCCATGTCATGACATCACCGATGAAGCTGCAGAGCTCGTAGGCTCGACTAGGCAAGATATTGTGTTGAACAGACTTGCAGATCATTTCGCCAAGCAGTCCATACATGGCCTTGCCAGAGAGATCAAAGCTGACCTTGCCGTGCGTGAGAATGATGTTTTTGCACGCCAGCTCTGGCTGGCCAAGATCAACAAGTTCTGCAAGAAGCCTGATGGAACTGTTCAAGGTTCCTCTTGCCCCGCAGTACAGCCTGTCTCCTCCCTGACACCAAGGGAACTGTGTCCCCGCTGGGGAGGTAAACATGAGCTTTACACCCAAGCCTCAACTGTCTGAAGCCAACTTCAGAGTGTTCTTGCAGTTTTCGAACTCACTGCGCTGGCGCCTTGGAGAAGGCCGTGCAACCTCTGTGTTTGAACTGGCCGCGTATGCCTTTACGAAAGGCTGGCGTTTCGAATTGCCTAAGGGAACTCTTTGCACATTCCAGGCCTATGCAGCCTTGATCAGAGCTGCCTTCGCATGTTGCAAGGCCAAGCATATCGTTGTTGGGCCTCTCCTGTTAGATAAGAAGAATAAATGCAATGGTCGTACTTTCCCGAAGGGAGCATTCGTAGGTGCCGAAGCCTACATTGACAATCCTACACTTGAAATGCTATGCAGGGCCTTTGAAAAGGGAGCCAAAGCGACACCCTTTTCCTGGTCTATCCCTTTTGACACCGTCCTCTAAGTCGTGTACAGATGGTAACTGATCAGCACTGCGGAAGCGAGCTGATCGCCATGGACCCTCGTCGCGGCATGTGAGCAAAAAAAAAAGGAAGCTCCCCCCCGCCCTCAGGCGGAGGGAGCTTATTGAAGAAGCATGAGCTATCCTGCGTCCAGTAGGTAGTAGCATACTAGTAGCTAGTAGCGAACTAGCTGCCTTACTTAATTAAGTAGGGAGGGGGAGCGGGCTAAAAGGCAATGCGTCACACAGTGTTTTGGACATAACGCTACGTAAGCTCTGGCAGTTGCGGCCTCTTTGCTCTTCGGGTGGATAAGGTAGTGAGTGGCTGTTCCGGATGTCTCCCTCGACGTAGTGGTTCATACAAGACCGGTGCTGTCGGGGCACAATAGTTTTGGTCCTGGATTTGCAAATTCATTGTGCAGGTGGTTGGCTTTTACATCAGCGGGGTCCTTTCAGGGATGCAGCAGTTGCAGCTGATACTGAATCTGAGCTTCAAGCCTTTGGAAGACTGAAAAGGGGCCTGAGAAGGCCCGCTGCGACAATGTCAAAGACGTAATATAGTTGGTGACGCAAAAGATGCAGCCTCACGAGAATCTGTGATACGCAAAATGCCAGCGGTATCGTCAGCATCAGGAAGAGTGATAGATTTAAATTCTGGAAATGTAAATAATTGCTATGCTTGGGTTGTACTTTCGTAAAGGGCTTGGTTTTCGTTTTCCTTGTTCTGCGATAAATGCACCGCTGGAAGATTAAATATCCTGCATTGATCTTTGGGTGAGGTTTGGTGATTTGGCCAGATTTGGGGTACTCACACTAATGCAACCCGGAATTGCTGCGTTCGAAACTGCGGCCATCAAGCTGAGATACACTGGCTGTGTGCCCTCATGGCTCCACCCAGTAATGTTTGAGCACGCCTATATAATCCTATATAGCATTTTGATGCATTTTGAGCTTTTGGGCCGCACCCACCAAGTTCCACAAGTGTCTCTTGCGCTGTGGAAGAACGTTCAGACGTGCGCAAACATAGTTGTATTGTATCTGAAATTGGAATCCACCATCGGCATCGCTCGACTCGGGACCAAAAGCTAAGAACCCCGAGACTCCAAATGGGGGTTACGTGTCCGCTGCTGCGGTTTTTGGGTTTTACAGTGGTAGCAGAGCCCGGTAACGTCCGGGCCGTTTTCGGTTTTGGACTCCCTTTTGGACACTTGGCCCCCGCTTGGAGCTGTGGATGGCCGGACAAACACAGGCCATCCCGCCATCAGACGGTGACCTTGACGAGCCCGTAGGAGGTTCACGGGCTGCGGGTTCACCTGTAGCGCCAGATCGCTTTGGGAGCGACCGCGAGGCCTTTCTCTTCGATTAATTCCAGCGACTTCTACGGCTGGAGCGGGAGCAAGAAGGGCGCGGTCCACGACAACGACGTCGCCGAGAGCGTGATGAGGAAGGAGAAGAAGATGGTGGTGGCGACGGTCGGGGGTTGGCCGGCCCACCGGCGTCTTGGGACGGCGTGACACTTTTTGAGGACTACTTCATCAAGGCAAAGCTATGGATTGCGACCACCAAAGCGAAGGGACGATCTCGTGGTCCATTGCTGTTGAAGATGCTCAGTGGTGCCCCTTTCGAGCACTACATGCACTGGGCAAAAGACCCAGAGTGGATGGCTCATCCTCATGGAGCTGAACGACTCCTCAACGACATGGACCCCCCGGAGAAGTACGGTGACGAACAACAGGAACACATGCTCACCGCCATGTCCAGGATCCCCTACCAGCTGAGACGCCAGAAGAATGAGACCTGGCGTGAATACTTCGCGAAGTGGGATAGTGCCATTCGCAAGGTCCATCAACACAAGATCAACCTCCCCGAGGACTATGAAGGTTTCTTGATGATCAATGGACTTCAACTCACGGAGACCGAGGCCAAGGCCATGCTGAACTACACCCATGGTTGCATCAAGCCAAGCTCAATCAAGAGTTGGCTGAGGAAGAATGAAACTCGTCTGTCGGCCGCCGAATTGGGATCCGACAAGAAGAAAGCCCAGGTCAACTTCCTCACCGAGTATGAGGGCCACTACATCGAGGACAATGACATTGAGGAACCGGACCAGGACGGGAGGACATTGACGAGCTTGAGCAGTGCGTCACGCACCTCCAGGAAGACGAGAACGATGAGGCCGTTCTGAGTGAAGGCGAGGCTGCCGAGATCTTGTCCACCTACGTCCAGCAAAAGAAGTCATACACTCAATCGCTCAAGAGCAAGAAAGCCCGTGAGCTGGCCCGTGGATACGGTCGACGACCCATGTCAGGATTGTCAGGCAACTCCGAACGAACCCGACCAGGCTCCTACTCGGTCACCATCGTGGAACTTCAAAAGAGAACCAGTTCCCGAAACTGCGGTCAGATCGGCCATTGGAAAGAATCCACCATCCAAACAATCCACCGTCCAAACCCTCAGAGAACAAAACTGATGAGGCCCACCACTTGGAGAACACCGAGGAGGTCGTCTTCTTCATCGGCCTTAAGGGTGGTGACGTGATCGAGAACGACAAGACCATGATCGACGACGATTTGGAATGACGCTGGGAGATCTTCAACCTGTACTGAGATGCCTGAGACGACTGCCACGGTCCTGACCCGTATAGGAACCTGCAGCAAAAGGCTGCTCGGAACGTAGGCGCCGAATGCCCGTCCGCTTTGGCATATATGGAGAGCGATTTTCGTCATCCGGCCAGTGCTGAGAACTTGGTTGTTTTTGAAAACATGTTTTGTAACCTTGTTGCCAAGCACCCTCAACCTCTCGACGTGGATGACGCCACTTGCGCCACCGTCAATACTGGATGCCAAAGATTAGCTATCGGTGCCCGAACTCTCGAGGACTTCGCAAAACATCTACCAGACACCCTGAAAGTCATCCCAGCCGGTTCAGAAGTGTGCACCAGACATCAGTAACCACCAAGGTGGCGATGGACACTAAAGGAAACTTCTTGAAGCCAGCAGTTTTGAAAACGAGGAGAGTGCTGGTGCACTCTTCCTCATCTCCCTTAGCTTCCTCCTTCATTGTCACGGAGAAGTCATCCTTTGTCATGAACAAGGCCTCCAACTTCGACTTCGTGGAAACGCCGAACCAATGGCCCCTCCACGTTGGACCCACAGGAGCTCTGCGGATCCCACTACAACGGTATACTGCACTACAAAAACAGGCACTATAACAGGGACAACCATGCTCAGTCGAGTTCGAAGTCTTGAAGTTGCAGAACGGCTGCATGAAACCGCCGAAGCCGAACCTCTCTCAAGTACCGAGCCCAGTTGAGACCCCGCCAAGACCCGCTTGCGATGCAGACGACTGCCGGCCAGAAGCGAGTTCGCCAGACTCCTGTATACCAGAGGAAGAGGAACGGCGCCAACAACAGGTGGTCAAGCCGTGGATCCGCCTGATGCGACGCTTCCTGCTCGTCCTTATGCCTCTCCAGCAGATGCTCGAGAAGTTCATGGATCGCATGAATCGCATGTTGAGCAACAAACCACACCGGGAAGCCTTGAGAGAGATGATCCGCTCACTCCCGGACGAGGACTTGCCCATGATCCAGAACATCGCCAGGCAGGAAATGAGCCGCTGAGAGGACACCGGACGCGGACCTCGGGACGACGGACAATGGTTGGTGATCAGCGAGACCAGTACTCATCCAGCCCGAGCACCAATTCCACCACCGGACCCACTGATCACAGCCGTCAGATCAACAGTCTGCCGGGCACCGAGACCATGGTGGAACCCAGGCCCAGGTGTCATTGTGGCCTCCAGTGCAAGATCCACATCTGCGACACAGGCCGGAACTACGAACAGATGTACTTTCGGTGCCCTCTGGAAGTGCTGCCAGTGCCGCTTTGTGCAGTGGTGCGACCAGCAACCCCTCCTCAGCTTGGAGAGTTGGCGCCGCGCCCCACCGTCAACAACCACCCTGAGGATCCGATATTGAAAAATCAATCTTACTATTGGCCCAAAAAATTTTCAATAATATTGAAAATGGTCAACCTGGAAGCAAAAAAACAATATCAGTATAATATTGGTCATGATATTGGTCAATATTGGTTTCAAATATTGATCATGCTATTGATCATGGTATTGGTCAATATTGATCGTGGAGACCCTGTGGAGTTCCTGTGGAGATCCTGTGGGGTTCCTGTTTAGAATCCTGTCGAGATCCTGTGGAGATCCTATGGAGTTCCTTTTGACATTATTATTGGTCTTGATATTGATCATGATATTGGTCGATATTGATCAAAAATTGATTGTTTTTCAATCTTCAATATTGAAAAAACATTCCTGCGATTGAAAAAATCAAGTTCAATATTATTGAAAACTTTTTGCGATATTGATTTTTTCAATATCGGATCCTCAGGGCAGGAGACGAACCGGTCACCTATGCCCAGATCCTCGAGGCGATGATCCAGTCCAAGTGCAAGCACACAGAGACACACAAGAAGGGATCGAACGCATTCCTGTCAAAGACCACTTGTCGTCTGTGCAACAAGGTCGTGAAGAACGAGAAGCTCAACCCCAATGCTAAGACGGGTGCAACAGCGAGCAACGCATCGGAGACTCGTTCTACCCGATCGCCGACTACGCCGATACCGTCGCCGGCAACACCCATGTCCAGCAACGGGGAGACCGACTCTGAGAACCAAACCGACTACCAGGAGTTCCAGAAGTACCTGCGCTGGAAGAACCTCCGAGTGCTCCCGAAGGCCTACCCAAAGGGGCCAACCAAGGAGGAACAGTGAGAGCCATTACGCCAAAGATCGAACGCAAGATTCGAGCGGCCTTGAAACAGGCTACGGCTTTTTGGAAGGAAATGCAACTGCTATATTGGCTGGCACGCCAATTCATCAGTGGGCCCAAACGGTCAATGAAGAAATCTGCCAAGAGTTCACCTTGAACTCGTGTGGCACAAAAAGAACCCACGAGCTAGCCGAAATCATGGGTTTAACTCATAGATAGCTTAGGACAGTTGCTGAAGTCTACAACCCACGATGTTTTGGTAAGATTGCTAATCGATTTCATCTTTTTGCCGGTCGTGTGTTTGATTTGAGTCTATATAGGTCAAGACCTAATCAGGTAATACGCACTACCAAGCCTGCGACTTGTTTGCGTTGCGCGACCTTGCAAGATGTACCGTCAGCTTCAAAATTTGTCTAAAGGTAAGCGAGCCCGTATTCCGGAGCTGATGAGAAAGTATCTCAAAGACAAGGCAGAAGGTGACAGGCTACTGGAATTTGCCATTCGGTTGTGCGAACTTTGCAATGAATTGCAACTCAAGTTCGTTTTCGAGCACCCGTACGCTGCCTCCTCATGGAAACACCATGCCATGGAGCGGCTGCTGTGCCAACCGAACGTCCTTCATACCAAAGCAGACCAATGTCAGTATGGTTTGAAGAGCCAAGACGGCTTGCCACAAAGAAAGATGGTTTTGCCACCAACTCGGAGATCATGAACACGAGGTGATCATTGGCGGCAACAAATCTCAGAAGTCCCAGGTTTACCCTGAAGAACTCCGTGCTGCCATCCTGGAAGCATACAGTCAGTCCATT